TTTTTACTTTCAGAAATCTACGAAATTTCTACACTCCCTGACATTTTTAGCCTTCTTATTTAGGCAACGACTAAATTGTTTGGGAAAACATTGCTAGAGTATAACCCTAGCCGATACACATAAAGAAACGTTACTGTTTAAGGCGTACGTCAGGTTTGAAACGATATGGGTCCACTAAAATGTGAGCCAAATGTGATATCACAGAGCGTAATGCAAATTTCTTTCTCCTTCATGTGTTTACTTTTACAGGGTTCCGCTATTCGATTCAGCTGCCTCCACATTTATCATAATCAGTTTGGATTAGACATCTTTATTTCTCAAAATTTCCCGTGATCAAAAGTCAAAGTTTTTAATGGAGTTCGTAAAGGAGATACCATACCGCTTAAACTGTTTACTGCATGCCTTGAATCAATATCGCTACAAATAATATGACATATGGAATTTTGCGTTAACGGTAGACTTCTGATTCATCTGTAATTTTCGGACGACGACGTGCAGTTGCGGATGAAAATAAAAGTTCGAAGCCATGCTATGTAAAGCTGTAGTTAAAATTAAATGACAAGTTCTGATGAATAAAAAACAGACGAAAATGGTGTGAAACAAATTCGCACAACCCTTCACAGTCTAAACAGAAGTCGTCGAGTATGTCCACTTGGAACAGTTAGTCATTTCCAACCACTCTTGTTAAGAGCTCCTGTCATGGAGAAGAAGAACGCCGACATTCTTGAAAGCAGAAAATTATCATTTACCATTAGATTCTCATTGTAAACAACCATGGCGTTGCCGACATCTCTATAAGACTGTGAAACCTGTGTATTAGCGAAAAGATTACCAGAACTGTTAGAAGTGCTGCAGCGGGCAATGGAGAGGGTAATGCTAAGAATTTTCATTGGAAACAAGCTGCGAAATGAAGAAATGAGAAAAGATTGCCATGCAGGATGTTGCTTTACTTTAAAACAAAGAAAATGACAATGACAAGAAGCAGCATACTGTGAAATTGAGTAATTAGAGCCTTCTGGTAGCTGAGTGTGTGCCAGCAAGACAACTGCTGTCGAAGATGGATACGAAGATGGCAAAAGAATCACTCAACAGCGGAGCATCTATCTTTTCTGAACAGAGGTGGCAGACAGCGCAGTCCCATTACAGCAAGTCAGATATGCTTCCATGGAAACGATAAAGACAGCTGGAGCTCATTGACCTGTAAGGATAGGCGGCTAGCGAAACTGACTGACAAAGACAATATGCAAGTCACATC